AGCCGCAATGGCGCTCAATCGTCGTACGGGGTTAGGCGTTAATTGCAGCACGACTTACGGCTCTAGGCAGAAATTTCATCCTCTGCTGGCTTCCTTTTGTTGGGCAGCCTCAGAATTGCGTTAGTGTTTTACTCCTGTGAAGTGGTTTTACTTGTTGCCTCGTTAAAGACAAGACTGCCATGGAGAGCAGAAAGGTAGTACTTCATTGTTCATTACATTTAGGTAGATTTACAAACAATTAATGCTAGTTGTATATCCCGAACAAAAAATCAGCTAACTTGAGTACTAACTTAGCGCAAAGGATTTGTGGCTAATTTTCCCAGATTATTATTGGAGTTTTCTTGAGCCACTAACTGTCAATGTCTAATTTTTAAGGGGTCATTTCGGTCTCATAGTTCCTGCAAAATGATCTACCTTAAGTTTGAATTTTATGGGGGTGGGGGGGGGGCTAAAATCTTACTTATGGAATCTAACTTGGGTCATCTGAACAGATTGTGTTATGGTTCTTAAACTCACCCAGACATTCTATCGTCACTGTGTGAATTCACGTTTTTCTTGCCGTCTTGCGGACTACAACATTTAAACGATGGTCATTTTCTGATGTCTTCGTATCGGGCTGCAAGGATGCAATACATGTCACTTTTAAAGACGTCGGCACAGTGTTAGGCTGTCGTGGCCTTCCAAAATCAAGGCTAATGACGAGATCCAGTATTCTAGATGGAGAAATGCACTCTCAATCATGTGCAGACAGAAATGTACTTTGACCCATAGCGGTTCTAAGCAGTACTCATCGATTGACCGTCATGCACCCAGGTGTAGAATGTTCAGCTTCATAGAACTTGGTTGTTCTGATTGGCTAAGAACCACCATTGGAGTTACAGGTTTGGATACGTCTGCAGCGTCGGGGAAAACACGTGTTCCGCTAGGAACATTTTTTGGGAAGTTGGTCGAAAACATCAAGGCGATACCAGTTAATCCAGTTAGAAGTTTTCTATGCATTTAACTATCGATGAATTTTTGTTTCGGCAACACGTTCATTAGAACACCGCGTTCACGTTCAGTCAGGTGTAACTAGCTGTTTGTTGCATTTTTGCAGGTCATGACTCATCTTTTTTCTTCCTGGCAACATTACCGTACTGAATATTCTTTTGCAAACAGACTGCCACCTGGTTAAGAATCCTTACAGAATGAAAAGATGTCTTCATACTGTAGATTGCTTACCTTAGGAAATGTCAACCACAATTCCGAAATGTTCTTGATCCAAAAAAATCACTTAATTGGGGTCGTAAGATTGAGATTTTGAGAAGAAGACGATCCGTATTGAGATTTTACTCACACCCAGGTGCCTGCTTTTGAACGAGCTTCGTTCTGACCGTCTGCAAAAAGTGTACGCTTTAAAAAATCACTGCAAAATAGTATGCATTTTTTGCTCATTCCTTTTCAATAGTCTTATCAATTCAGACATATCTTATAAAAAAACATGCACAGAACTTCTTTTTGTACTCGTTTAGTAGTGAATTACGCTTTCTTCAGATTTAAGGCCCGAAGAAAAAGCATGTTTCTGTTTTAAGGGAACTTTCCAAATTGCCGAATAATTTTGAACCCCGCCGGCCGGTACACCTGTATCAAAGGCTTCTAAAGCACATACTGTGTGCATCTCATCCAAGGAAAATCGCACATTTCTCTGCGCTGTTAGAAAGGGTGTAGTGATGCTCATAATCTTTTCCAATAGATGTGGATCGTGTTGTACACTTTAAAGGCAACATTAATAAATTGACGGATACTATTTATTATGAATAAAAAATTCACGATCTTAAACAAATCTCGTAATTAGAAACTTTTAAACCCAAAGGTACCCTTTCTTAAAGTATAAAATTTGAAGAGAGCATATCTTGCTACCAAACGCGTACATGGAGGAATATTTAGGTATATATTTTCCATGAAAAATATTTGAATTTATAAGAGAATTGAAAATAAATGGGAAGATGATGCATAACACTTAAGTAACCATTTTTAACGAACAGAGTATGCTTTTTGCGGGCGGTCAGAAAGAAACTCGTTTGAAAACCGGCGTGAGTAAAATATCTTGAAATTAAGCTGCATGTTAATCAACATTGTGACTCTAAGTAATTTGTCCGAATAAACAAGCATATTTTATAACTTCGGCTGTCATTTCATGAGATAGACAATCTTCTGCATGTTTAAATCATACACTTATGTATCTTTAAGCCGAAGGAAAACCAAGTCAAAGTTTAGCGGTCAGCACTGGGTGAATATGCTCCCCTAATATTCAGAAGCCGGAACTTAAGCAAATGCCTCAGGGCAACATGTATTCTGACAAATCTGCCTTAAGTGACATGATAAAACATTTGCCTCTTTTAACTGTACGGCGTTTGGCGAAAATAGCAGTTAGGACCATCAGTTTC